GCTTAACTAATAATTTGAGCAATAACAAGCTTACAAACACAAACATTATTGATTTGTAAAGCTCTTACTTGACCTCTCAGCGACATCTGACTTGGCCAATCTGTTCTTGGACCATTCTCTGTTTTTGAGATTAAGTATCAAGTTCTGATTTTCTTCTTATCTCTGCTCACTTGTGAGCAATTTTTGTCTGGCAAGCCTAAAGTGGCCTGGTGACATTCCAGTGGCAGTGTATAGATCTACTTTCCACCTGCCCTAACTTGAACAGGCTCATTTTACTTCATTTATTCGTTCAATACAGAATGTTATTGATGGCTRACTATGTGCCAGAATGGTTGTGTGCAGTACTATACACTGGATTGGCAGGATCCCAGAGAGCCACTTAGATAATTTCAGGTAATGCTAAGTGCTGCAGAAAATATAAATAAAATAGTCAGAATGCAAGTTAAGGGAAGGGGTGATGCTGGAAGGACCAAGACAGAAGCCCTGAGCAGAAGGCCTTTTGAGTTAAGCGTTGGAGAACAAAATGGAGCTAGCCGTTCTAACATGCCAGCATCTGAGATCAGGAGATCCAGGACTTTTATGAGCTCAAGGAACATGAAGAAGCCCAATTATGATAGAACAGTGGCTCCTGAAGATTTTAATTTCCTAATCCTTAGAATCTTTGTGTTCCTTACATGGCAGAAGGAACTTTGCCGATGTGATTAAATTTAGGATTTTTGAGAAGGGAAGATTATCTTGGATTATGCAGGCACATCCCGCATAATCACAGGAGTCCTTGCAAATGGGAAGCAGGGCAGGGGTTCAGAGTCATGAAAGTAGTTGTGAGGGTGGAAGTAGAGATTGCAATCATGTGATCTGAAGACTCAGGAAGAGACTAGGAGCCAAGAAATGCAGATGATCGCTTATATTTTGACATATCCTTCTAGTCCATTTTTCTAAGTGTTTAATACTTTTAAGGTAATTGGTSTCATACTTTATGTCCTGTTTTGCAAACTTTTCTACTCAGTGATATATCCTGGATGTTTTTCTATGTCATTATATATTTGTGGATGATCATTAAATACATAGTATTCTTAACCTGGATGAATAATAATTTATTCACTAATCCCTTATCTTAGAATGTGCAAGTACTTCTCTTTCATAAGTTAGTACTTAGAAAATTCATATAGACAAAACTTTTTATTCACYATTATTTCCTTGGGACAATTTTTGCTAAAATCAAACAGGAATATTTGATTATTGCCCCCCAATAAGATTATACTGATTTATTTATATCAGCAATATTTGTAAAGACCCATTTTTTCCACTCTCTAACCAATATTGAATTTATAACTTTAAAACTTTTTGATAAGAAATTGTACCCTCACATTTATGGCTTCTTTCCTTTGTGACTCACTGAACGTGGCCTTTGCCTTCTTGTCTTGTATTTTATAATATATGCATATTTTCTTCCCGACCTATTTGAAGGTACATCCCACACAACATGGCCCTTACCTCTGCACATTTCAGCATGCCTTTCCTCAGGAAAGTGGAATTTTACATAACCATCATGGAGTCTTCAGTGTCATAAATCAACATGTAGTTCTTTAATCTGCCAAAAATATTTCAGTTTCATCAGTTGAACCAATGATGTCCTCTGTAGCATTTTCTCCTTTAGTGCGTGATCCAGTGTAGGGTCAGTCTGCTTGTATCTCTCTTCAACCTTCTTTATCAAACTGTCTTCCCACAGACTGTCTTTGTCTTTTTATGACCTTGACATTTTTGAAGAATGCAGAACTCCTCATGCTTTTTTAAAATAAAAGTTTTCCTCATTTTTTTATTGGTCGGTTTCCCGTGATTGGATCCATGTTTCTCAACTAGAAAACCAAATAGGTGGTTTTGGCTCCATAGCCATCTGGTTCTTCACTGGAGTAAACTGACCACAGAGGAGTCACTAACATGCATGGGGACAGGAGTGTGATCACCCCCAACCCAGTGCAGTCAGGTGCATATATGCCCTTCCTACAGGGGAGAGGACTTGGGGTGAGGAAGTTTGAGGGGTCATCAGTGATTTTAGGTGAATGAATGGGTCCAGTGCTCAGACAGTATAGAACATGATTTGGGGGRAAATTGAATGGGTCTGGGAAATGGGAAATAGCTTGTGACACAATCTGTCCAGGTATGTTTTTTTTCCTGAAGATGCACATTTAGTTAGTGAAAACTCAAGGAAAGGACCAGAGGTGATTCTTTTCTTCTTTGGCAGGTCCAGTCTTTAAGTGGAAAAGGCCACCTCAGAATAAAGCCTCTTCCAGCACCTGCTGCTCTCCAAGGGTATTGAATTTAAAATAACCAGCATACAGGGATGCCATTTTTGGTGGTATTATTTTCTGAGCCCCAACAATGGTAATGTGTCTTTCTCAGTGCATCACATCTGAAGGCCTGATAATCATCTTCCCCACTGGTAATTTAGATCTTCTGGTCCAAGTATCGCTCAGTTTTTCTAGTATGTAATTAATGATGTGGGAGAAGATTGTTCTTCCCCTTCAGTGAATAACAATTCTAGAAGAAACATTTTAAATGCATGAAAACACTCTATTCATCAAAATTTATTTCTAGATATAAGATCCATTAATGCTTTTTGCCTGATCAGTCCTTACTATAGCCAGTGGTTGCTGAGTGGTGATTTTCCAGTTTCTAACCATATGCCTCGTGTTAGCTCTCAGTATTTTGCTCTAAGCAGGTGCCTCCTTCTTCCATTCATGTGTCCACTTGTTTTGAAGACTTGTTAAATCCTGTTTTTTTTTTT